TGCTTGTAAATTATTGATATAAATAGGGTTATTCGAACTTGAATGCAAATAGTGAATTGTGATGTCCTAACAAACTTGACTAAATCTTATTTTTGACAAGCGAGATATGACATTTATACTGAATAACCAATGAAAAAACAAATGTATACGGTAAACAGATTTGATATGTCTAGCATTATTGATATAAAATTGAGTTGTGCACAATAAATAATTATACGTGCAGCACGCTTGTACACATAAAAGGTTGAAGGATTTGGAAAGGGATTCTCTCTGGATCCCGTCCACCAAATCCACTCAATCAATCAATCAGAACTCTCGAAATTTGATCCAACGGCTACAAACAGGGGGTCCCTTTAACAATTATAATAACTTTAATTATTTGATCAAATTTTAAGCGCTCGAATTAGATAATTGAATGAATTAAGTAGAAGAGATCCTCCCCTAATCTCTTTCCGAATGATTCAACCATATATAAGGGGACATGGGGTTGTAATCTATCGTACACACAAAAGCAAGTTTTAAGTCTTGCCAGAAGAATGATCAAGTACTTGTTTGGTGATGAGATGATTGATGAAATGGATCTGTCTAGGACGACATCATCAATTAGTTGAATTTTATTTTTTTATGTTAAGTTGGGAAACTTAGACGTTGATGTATGCAATTTAAATGGGGTGCTGATGGCATGCATTTTTCATATTTTATTTACACATATAATATATACACGAATTACTATCCAAAAAAAAGAACGCGAAGAGCGCCTCAAAAATTATGCTTTTGAGCTACAATGATTTTTGATATTGACGTAACTTCGTATTTTAATTCCTGACAATAAAAATCAATTGAAGTAATCTTTAAGTTTGTCTGTTGTAAATTATTTTATGAAAAATCTGTCAATATTCTAGTTGAGTGGAAGAGTTTATTGGTTTGACAAAAATACTCTTTACAAGGTGGCCATGTGGTTGTTCACATGACAATTTAATGAGGATATTGATAGATTTTTCATGGAATAACTAAAATGATTTACAGTGGATAAGCTCAGAGACCACTTTTATCGATTTTCATTGTCAAATACCAAAATGAGGAATTATGTCTAGAAATTTTGGCTAAAGTGGCTAGAAATTTTGGCTATCACTTTTGTAGATGCTCGGGATGGGGTGTAGCCTATGATAAGGTGGAAGGGAAAAATAGGTGCATTTTTACTCACCACCCTCAAATGGTGGTAATGCTCACCCTTCTATTTATTACTATCATATGAGTTTAAATTTTAAAATTTGTATCTATCCATTAAATAGATCTCGAAATTTAAACTCTTCTAATGATAATGAACAAAGTTGTGAGGAAAAAATATTCTTGACGGAAATAAGTTATTCGCAAACGTTAACTACATGAGAAATGCAACTATAATTAACTTAACAGTGATCTTCCATCGTACCGTATAGGAATTTAAAAAAAAAAATAATAATAATAATAACTAAATTTTTTTTTTTTTTTTTACCAAATGATATTATCTACGTTAAGAGAGAATGGATGAGTTTAACCTTATAATAAGCTAGTAATAATATGATTCAAACTCGCATTTAATAATAATCGAACCTAAAGAAACTTAATTACTGGAAAATAACACTTATATTGTAATCTGCACACACTTAGATGCAGTGCCACTTCCTGGTGAAATCTTAGGATGGACCAGGCCGATAAGCTTATTATATATGCGAGAAATTGACAAACGAACCTCAAGGTTCTTAATTACATTTTTGGACCACTTTGTACTTGAGCTATCTCAATAAACTAATCGACTACTGATGTGACCAAACTAATTATCTTGTAAATTAATCCTGTTTGAAGGGCTTTGAAACTATCTTCTTGTTTCCAACTCTCAACTTACGATGCCCTAATCGCATTTGCTGACGAGATTGCCAGCTATATGAACACATAGTGTATCGTTAGATCAACATAATTATATTGTCCTAATAGTTCAAACCATTGTTATTAACTACACAAACACATCTTGAATTATTAAATTAACAAATTTAACGATTCAGACAACGATCGTACGAGAAAATTCCCCTCAGCATTGCACAATAATGTGGTGTGCTACGAAGACACTTCTTGAATTGCTAGATCAACATAATTTTGTTGATCTAAAGGTTCAGACAATGATCGAAGGCATACTTGTGTCGCATGCGTGAATAATAAGAATCCAACCAAACTTTAGCAAAAGCCAAGGTCTAAAACAAAAGCTAGTTAATGGCTAATGGCTAATGGCTGTAGAGGACTATGGTGTGATGCTTTTTCCTATAATAAAAGGGATTAGATGGTGACTTTGACACGACAGTTCATTATTTTTGGAGCAAAAAAGGCTCATAAATGCATTTTAGTTTTCCCTTAACTACCATTATGTGATTCACCATCATGTGATGCTTCAATCAACAATGTTTTTATGCATTATTGGGTACAGGTAGAAAGCCGATGAGGATTCTTTCCAAATTCTCTTTACGAGAATATGCATCTGTTCATCGTACATCGTGCGATTAGAAATTATTTTAAATATTTTTATTTAAAATTAAATAAAAATAGTAATAAGAAAAATTGATCGTAAAATGTACGATGAACATACATAATTTAAGAATTTTCAGAATCATGACAAAGAGAATTCGGAGAGCAAGCAAGATCAGGAACCGGCGGACCGCGCCGTCCTTGGAAGTCGGAACACAGGATTGCCCCGTGGCATAAAAATGGATAGGGGCTAGGGGTACTCCTCGTTGTCCGGAAGATAGATTGGGGTTCCTTGGTTAATCAGGTAGCCCTCCACTGGAAGGACAGCCAGCCTTGTTCCACTTCATCTCAACCATTTTCAACCATACAACACACATTGGGATCATAGAGTGGGACGAGAGGGATCCACCATCCTCCAGAAATACACAGAATGTGTTCAGAGAACTGAATTGTCAGTTTGACGGGTGAGTTGTCGGGTGAGTGAACGAAGTTGTTGATGCTAGATTCACGAGTTCATATTTTTGTGTTTCGATTAATCACAATCAATTGAGTTGTGTTAACACGATGATTTCAAAGCCAAATCTGTACATGTGAGTTGTCTGGTAAGCTATTGCGGTTGTATCTGTTAGATTGATGAGTTCATCATTCTTTAGTGCAATATATATAGGTTAACACAATTCATTGCATTGTATCAATACGATTGCTTCAAAACCCATTTTACATGTTAATTGTTAGTAATTATAGGACGAGTCTTGACGCAACACAAAAATTACTTATTTGTAATCAAAAGGTCATGGATTTAAGTAGTGAAAATAACATTTTTATAAAGTAAAAGTTAGGCTATGAACGATAGACGTTTTTTTTCTTTTGAAACTCGCAGAACTAAAAGTCTTGTTAGCTTATGATCACCCTTTAGTTGTCAAGTAAGATAACACAGCAATAATCGTTAAATTGACATGTCATCGTTATCTGTTTTAATACAGCTTATCAGGACACGTTGAATGTGTCAACACTATAGTTTCAAAAACCTACAAGTCTACAAGTGTTGATGATGATGACCATAGTGAAATCTAGCTATCTATATATGTTAGGTCACCATAGAAGACTTATATAATAATAAACTTCTTGTTGGACTGTATGGTTCAATAATTGGTTACACAAAGAGGGAAAGAGATATCTCTTGATACGACAAAGTGGAGGATAGATTTTTTAATGTGTTAGAAATATGATTCGGTACATTAGATATTATTATATAAGTAGTTAGATACTTGAAAAAAAAAAACAACCACTTGTATTATAATATTTGGTGTATCGGACCGTATTCTTGACACGCTGAAAATTTTTCAAAGTGGTGGTAGTATCTTATTACTTCAAAGTTCCAAGTAGAGAAAACAAAATACTAAAGAACATTATACTTAATGCATGTTGGATCATATAAATCTCAGACTTCCCTTTCAACGCATGCAATTTGAAAGTGTCATTTGGAATTCAGGTACAATGAATGAGTTGCTAGAATGGTGCTTTAATGTTCCGTCGATGTGTAAATGTATTTTAGGACTTTACAAGTTAGACTGTGTATTGCCACATAAGATACTTAAAAGGCATTTGTTGACGCCTCTTTTAGAAGAAAGTGTTTTTAAATAACCAAAAACGTTCGTTATGATGTGTAGCAAAAATTAAAAAAGTGTTTCTAAATTATAAAAGAATTTATGAGTGCTTGCTAGAGAAATAACTCTTCTTCAAGCATCACTTGGAATTTATTTACCTTGTTGTTCAACGTCTTCTGATGATAGTACGATTCTTATTTTGTATGTCTTAATGGTGTTAGGTCCTGATCGGATGGTTTAGGCCTTGTGAGCATATTTTTTGTTGTTGTTTAGGTGTGGGTCTCCCATGATAAAGAATCGTACATTTGAAGACTTTAGTTTTTGTGTTGTTTTTTTGTTTTGGTTGTGCTTTCGTTGTTTGTTTGCCTGCCAAAGGACCGTGAGTCTATGACAACACTCATAGCAGGGCTTCTTTGCCAAAGAAGCGTCGTCTTTTGCAAGTTCATTAGAAAGTGATGCAAGGTTTTGTCCTTGTGAGTGTTATCTTTACATTTTATTAGATATAGATGTGTGGGGTGGTGGGGTAGGTTTGTATTGTCTTTCTGTTGTGTTTGTAGTCATAAAATTGTATTCTTAACTGATGATATTCTTCGTTTTATTTAATTAATATAATACTTATTACCTTCAAAAAACCGTCACTTGAAATTTTAATAAAAATGGGTTGTGCTTCGTGTGTGTGTGTATGTGTGTGTGCGCTTCGAACAAAATCACTATTGAGCATATGAGTCATCGAAAATGATTTCTGGAGCAGCACCTGTTATATGCTTTTTGATCGAAGCACTCAAAAGGAAAGCAGAGGCCAAAAATAAACAGAAAAAGGAGAACCAAAGGGGTACAAGTCGGGCTTCCAAATTAGAACTGGGCATCGTAACAAAACCATTCGAAATCCAACAATGTTGGCCCAAACATGTGGATGGGCCTTATCTGATCCAATAATTCATTTAAAAGCCCACAAAACCGCCGTCGGTAATTATCGTCAACTTTTCTAAAAATAGAGATTTTTGAAAATGTATCGGAGCTAGAAACACTCCAACATCCCCTATCCGACAACAAAAATCTCCTTCTCCGTCACAGCTCCACCTCCGAGTGCTCCGCGTAGCGAGAGATAGAGGGAGGCGACGCCGTTTTGTCTCTGAAATTAGGGTTGTGTGTGGGTGTCTCTGCAGCTAAAGTCCTAGAGCTTTTTTGATTTTCCTACCGAATTCGATTTCTCTGAGTTTTTAGGGTTTATGCGATGCTGCTAAAGGTCAGAAATTGGGTAATTAGTGAGGAATTGGAGGAGTAGGTATGTGTTGCTATTTGGTTCTAGGTTTGAAGTGAGTTTATTCGGGTTTTTCTGTGAGAGAAATTGATGGAAGGGGGAAGGAGAATCTCGGCGAGTCCTCGGCCTTGCAACGGTAGGAGGGTGGTGGCGAAGAAACGACCTCGTATTGGTGGGGTTGATGGGTTCGTCAACAGCGTTAAGAAGCTCCAGAGGCGCGAAATCAGCTCCAAGCGCGACCGTGCTTTCACTATGAGCGATGCCCAAGAGAGGTTTCGCAATATCCGCCTCCAGGTACTATTTACTTTTTTGAATTGATTTATTTAATCGAAGGAAAGGTTGGGGCTTTGATCCTTGTTTACCTCATCTGCTTGGTTCGATGGTCTCCATTTAATTCAAAAACCGAAGTTAAGTAATGGGATTTTGTTGTTAAATTGCTAGGATGCTAGATCCTCTCACAAAAACATGAAAAAAAGGGGATTTTGTTATGAATTATGTGCATTTTTATTTAATTTTGATTTATCTTTCTGTTAGCTGTTGAGCAATGGATAATTACTTTGTCAAGTCCCCTACCAGAAAATCCCCCGTAGCGTTACATCTGGGTGTTAGGAACATTCAGTGGAATTCAATCAACATAAACATGCTTATGCTTATGTGTTCGTGAGTGTGTGATTGTTTTCGTTAGTACTTCCTGTTAAGTTTGCGCAAATATGTCTTTTATCCTCGTGAGGTTCTTACCATCAAATTGGTAGTACACGTTCGGAGTCCATGCCATGTTACTAATGCCAACATTTGAAAGCATGCTGTATAATAAAGCCTAGATGCAACGATGCAGTAAGAAAGTTTTGAGTTTCAAGATTGGAGATTTGAATTTGTGCAGTCAAGCTGTTGTGTACGCATGCTCTCTTCAATTTTGAATTGTGTGGAAGGATTTTTTTTTTTTTTTCCACTAGTGGTGTTAGTGTGTGTCTGCAATACCTAATTTCTGCTTGTCATGATATTTGGATGCATAGGAGGAATATGATACGCATGATCCTAAGGGTCATTGTGCCATGGTTCTGCCTTTCCTGCGAAAGAGGTCCAAAATTATTGAAATTGTAGCAGCACGTGACATTGTGTTTGCCCTCGCACAATCCGGTGTTTGTGCAGCATTTAGCCGAGGTAGTAGCTGTATTATCTGTATTTCTGAACTTATATTGCATGCACTAATCTTATTACGTATAAATATTCAATGAAGGGAATATGTAATGTTTATGTTGTTTTATGCAGAAACCAACCAGAGAATATGCTTTCTGAATGTCAGTCCTGATGAAGTGATAAGAAGCTTGTTTTACAATAAAAACAATGACTCACTTATCACTGTTTCGGTTTATGCCTCAGACAACTTCAGTTCTTTGAAATGCAGAAGCACAAGGATTGAGTACGTATCTCTCTATCTTCCCCCTCCCCTCCAGACACACACACAAAAAAAAAAAAAAAAAAAAAAAAAAAAGAAAGAAAGAAAAGAAAAAAAAGAAAAATGAAATTCAAAAGAAACAACAGTGTAGTTGTCCAATTTACGTTATCTTCTTTTATTTCTTTCTGAACGCACTGTAAAATTATATGATCCAGATACATAAGAAGGGGTAAACCAGATGCTGGATTTGCTCTTTTTGAATCCGAGTCACTGAAATGGCCTGGTTTTGTAGAGTTCGATGATGTAAATGGGAAGGTTCTTACTTATTCTGCACAGGATAGGTAAGTAGTCTGTCTTATTGGTATACCTTTCTAATACACTATTGTCTTCTTGATTTGATTAATCTTCGTTTTGCTTCCATTTTATTATCAGTATATACAAGGTGTTTGATCTGAAAAACTACACAATGTTGTACTCCATATCGGATAAGAATGTCCAAGAGATTAAGATCAGGTAGTTCGCATGCCTCCTTACACAGTGTGTCTAATTTGTATTTGGAATTCTTTTGTTATTGCTTAGTGGACATTTGTGTCGCTTATGATTTCTAATTTTTCTTTTGTTTCTGTCATAGCCCTGGGATCATGCTGTTGATTTTTACTAAAGCTAGTAGCCATGTTCCTCTAAAGATTCTGTCTATAGAGGATGGTACTGTCCTCAAATCCTTTAACCATCTCCTTCATCGGAATAAAAAGGTGGATTTCATCGAACAGTTCAACGAAAAGCTTCTTGTAAAGCAAGAAAATGAGAACCTTCAAATTCTCGATGTGAGGACTTCTTGATATCTTGCAGAAGTACTATAATTTATTCGTTTGGATTTGTACGTCTGACTGCTATTATCTGTAGGTTCGCAATTTTGAGATGACAGAAGTAAGCAGAACTCAATTCATGACACCATCAGCCTTCATATTTCTGTATGAGAATCAGTTATTCCTGACGTTTCGGAATCGAACCGTGGCTGTTTGGAACTTTAGAGGAGAACTTGTGACTTCTTTTGAGGATCATCTTTTGTGGCATCCCGACTGCAATACCAATAACATATACATTACAAGTGACCAGGATCTTATTATTTCTTACTGCAAGGCTGATTCCGACGATCCATTATCTGAAGGAAATGGTAACGTTGTTTTCTTCCTTTACTTCTAGTCTTCTATCCAATTTGATCTTCAACTATCCACCACAGGGATCTCATTGGATGGAGAGTCCTCTCTGTGACAGTTGTTTTGTATCTGAAACGGTGTTTGCATCTATATTTGCAGCTGGATCCATAAACATCAGCAATATCTTGACTGGAAAATGCCTTGCTAAGATAAGAGCAACCAACAATGCTGAAAAAGAATGCACTTGTAGTGGTGAGTCTTGTGGTGGCAGTTCCAATTCGAAGAAGCGGGCCCTTTCATCCCGAATTAGGAGTACAGTTGCAGAGGCCTTGGAAGACATTACCGCTCTCTTCTACGACGAAGAGCGCAACGAGATTTACACGGGCAATAGGCTCGGTCTAGTTCACGTATGGTCCAACTAATGGTTTCTTCGAGTTTATTCTCCATGTCCATTAGATTCTTTCTTGGTCTTCTAGATGGTTGAATTGATCGCGCCGCTCCCCACCGCAACGACTCCCTAGAACTGTACCATTAGTTTGCTCGTGTACCATTAATCCCTTTGTGTTGCCTGAAATCCGAATTCGTTCCTTGTGTCTCTGTTGAGCTTGAGAACTTATTTTATAGCGACTCTTTCATGGTGGTGTAATATAAATGTAGAATTGAGTTTGCCATTTTTTTTTCCCTTTTTAACTGCACTCTTTTTACAACAATTATTGTTACAGTAATGGAGCTGGAAATGTTAGGAAGTGGAATTGGTGGGACAGAGATTCACTCAGGTCACTCAAATTGAATTTAACGGTCCATAATAATTCAATTCGTTATCTCACCTTGCACAAACTAGAGGCATATATTTCTCTTCACACAAACTTAGGGTTCGGATTTCCTGATCTTTAAACATTGAACTTTAGAGTCAGGGGTGATCCAAATTTGAATTGGTGTGACCACATGGAACAGCTAGCTCACTTTTTTCTTACCTTTTTCTGAAAGGAATAAAGTGGGAATTGGTGTGTGAAGAATACTTTGCATGGATTAGAAGGCTCGCAATATCTACCATTCATGCATCATATGGAAATGCCAAGGCATGAGTGGATCAGCAGCTTTACGATTTGCCAACCTTCGATCCCTTTGTGAAGCTCGTGCTACTTCTGCAGCACCACCCAATTATAATGATTTAGGGGGCCGTTTGCGACAACTTTCGTTGGAAGCACTTCTGCTTGTACGAGCTTTTGTTGAAAGCATGCCAGACTTTTTTATTTTTTTTATTTTTTAAAAGGTCGGTTAATTATTTTAAAAAATATCTTGAAAATGCTTCATGAAGATGCATGACAAGTGACGGAATAAAGATTTTAACTTAGGGGTCTTAATGTTAAATGTCCAAGGTTTTTAGATATAAACATAGTGCAAAACGCACAACCAAATTTCAGTTTAGTCACGGAGACATTTCATCAAACATTTAGTGGGATTGTTGTTGTCAGTTGAACTATGTTAGACATATGTTAACAAATATCGACATTTACTAAAACAATCTGATGAGTGCTTTGGAGTACTGCCGAGATATATCTAGCATGGGTTACATCAAACACTTGGTAATCACAAGAGGAACCAGTGCCGTATATTCATAGGATCTCCAGAAAGCCTTCACATGATTATTTCCCAACCTCCGGGTGCTCATGGGACCACCTTGGTCCCAATGTGCATCCGCCCTTGTGCATGACCCATTTGAACGTGCTTATCTAAAAGCACTTTTGCTCAGAAGTGATTTCATTAAAAGCAATTTTATTAAAAGCACATTAATATTTTTAAGGGAACTTTAATGAAAAGCTCATTGTACTGTTTATTTTAACCTAAAAGCATTTAAGAACACATTTAATTGTTTTAAAACACACTCCCAAAGAGTATCTAATTACTCAAATCACTTGCGTCCGTAAGTATTTTTAAATTTTTATGTCATACACTGTCGGACCTACAGGTGTCCTTGTGCTGCAACTATATGCACACTTCCACACTGGTTGTGCTTGACAACATATAAGACAACATTTGGCAAGAGATGATGAGAATACAGGAAGAGAGAACGAGATTTAATAATGCTTGTGGGAAATGTAGTCGTTTCGTCTTGTCTGTTGGATCTTAATGGCACCAAACCAACATATAAAATTTCCTTCGTTTCGGAATTTGGAAACGACCTCTTTTGTTGTTGTCCTTAAATTTGTTGAGCAACACGACACGAGCATGTGATATGAGAATGAGTAGTGTAATATATTTTTCATTTTTCGGTTGATTTTATACACTTTATTCAATTTAATGGTTAAAAAAAAAAATTTGCGTAAAAGGTAAAAAGTAGTCTATGTTTAGCACAAGTGTACCATTCCACATCGCCCGGAGGAATAAATCCTGTAAGCCTTATATGAATATTCTCATCTTTACCAAGCACTAGGCTTTTTGAGAGCTTACTGGCTTCTGGTTTCGTAGGAACTCCGAAGTTAAGCGAGAAAGGGGCCAAAGCATTCCTAGGATGGGTGACCCATTAGGAAGTTTTGCTCGCATGAATTCCTAGAAACAAAACCAAGAGGTCGTGGTCGGGACCCTAAGCGGACAATATTATGCTACGGTGAAGTCGAGTCCGGGATGTGATGGGGGCCAAAACCGGGATGTGACAACAACTATATGATAATAACAAAACTGTTGCTTTTGGAATTTCAAACTCAAAAGTTACAAAAACTATTACATTACTCGTTTTCATTTTATTTTTTGTCATTTTAATTATTGCGCTTTTAGTAATGATTAAAATAACAAAAAATAATATTAGTCAGAAAATTGACGTTAAATTGTGAGGTAATAGACTCTCTTAAAAGTGAGACTATCCATCGACTCTCATCATCTTATGTTTTTTGCATAATATTTGCACGAGAATTCATGTTAAACTGTGAGGTAAAAAACTATTACATTACTTTTGTTGTTGTCCTTAAATTTGTTGAGCAACACGACACGAGCATGTGATATGAGAATGAGTAGTGTTATATATTTTTCATTTTTCGGTTGATTTTATACATTTTATTCAATTTAATAGTCAAAAATTAAAAAAAAATGCATAAAAGGTAAAAGGTAGTATGTGTTTAGCACAACTATCTGATAATAACAGAACTGTTGCTTTTGGAATTTCAAACTCAAAAGTTACAAAAACTATTACATTACTCGTTTTCACTTTATTTTCTGTCATTTTAATTATTGCACTTTTAGTAATAATTAAAATAATAAAAAATAGTATTAGTTAGAAAATTGACGTTAAATTGTGAGATGATTGACTCTCTCAAAAGTGAGACTTTTCATTGACTCTCGTCATTTCATGTTTTTTGCATAATATTTACACAAGAATTCATATTAAATTGTAAGGTGTCAAAGAGTTCATGAAAAGTCGCACTTCTAAGATAATTCCCTTAACCTCTAGTTTAGTATGACTTGCAGTCAAGTCCTAATCATAAAATCCATATATATATATGTATATATATTAATACATGAAATCCAATGGGGTAGTATGCAACCACCACGTGGGGGTGACGTCTTATCTCTCTAAAACATTTTTGTCAATAGACTTCGCCACAATAACATTTACCAATATCATAAACTTCCTACAACCAGTGTTTACGATATGGTATCGGTGGAAATATCAATTTATAAATTATTAAAAATACCAAGGGGATATATCGATATCCGTTTCTTTCGATGAAAACGATAGAAATTTGTCCAAAAATGTGAAAATTTAAATGAAACGTTAAGGAGTATTATATAACATTTTGTCGATATTTGAATGATATGTTTGAAATATTAATGAAAACTGTCAATTTTAACTGAAATTTGAAAATTTCTCCAATACAAAGTTAGAGTTCACTTCATTCCATATGTTTTTTTTATCCTAACATTTTTTACGAAAATATCAACCCGTATCGAAGAATTCTCGAACACTGCCTCAAACTCGCCTTGTTATTAAAAAGTCAAACATACTCGAAACTGAAATGACAGTGAAGTGAAAAAGGAAACAAACTTGCGGGGATAAAAAATGCCAATTAGGCAAAGAAGCGCACAGAGAAAAAAGGAGGTGGAGGGAGGGAGGTGAGAGCGTGAGAAGTAGGCGAGTGGAGGACAAGTATACTCTCCAGCATCCACACAAAGCAATCAACGCGGTGGCTTTTCTCATATTCTTCAGTCTACAAGTCTAGTGTGTGTTGCTCCTCGGTCTTCTTCTTCTTCCTCCGCCTCCTGCATGTGCATTTCGCCATTGGAGCCCTCAGTCTCTCACTCGCAATCGCACTCGCTCGCAGATCTCTCGGGCTAAAAGGTAAGCATTGCCTCTGCATTTTTGGTTACTATTTTGATTGAATCTCTTTGTTTTTTATTTGATTTGGATTCGAATCAATGTACTGCGAATGAATCGAATGTTTTTTAGATTATTGGTGAGATTGTTATTGACTGATTTGGTTGTTAGTTTCTAATTTGGATGCTGAGATATAGGGGAGGACTTTCATTTTTCTAGATCTGCATTTTCAAAATTTAAAATGCTGACTTTTCTTTTAGTAAATGAAATGCTCAAGTTTCAGCTGAATCTCGATCGGAAAAGAAGAAGTTTCAGCTGAATCTGAGTTTTCAGTGACTTTGTTGAGCAATGGTTTATATATTTTCTGTAAATTTTGATGTGGATAAGTAAATGTGAGACTGTGATTGCAATTGCGAGAGAGAGACTGAGAACGATGCTTTGAATTTCGGGTTGTCGGTGCGCCTACCGGATTAAATTCTCTTAGAAACTGCACTTGTTGCAGCATAAAGCTTACTACTTTTTAGCAGCCTGGGCATACACTCTTTACCTCTACTCGGTCAAAGGTCACTCTAGTTATTGTCATTTTTGTTGTTTTTTTTTGGGTTTTACCTAAAATCTGTTTCCCTCTTTTGCGATACAGGTTGCTCTGCTTCGGTTCAGTTGTAAGCGCATTAGAATGGAGGCGAAGATTGATGCCAATGCACCCTTGGACTACGCTGAATTTCAGATTTTTCCATCCCAGAACAGGTTAGGTTTTCGCCTTTCGGTAAATTTTGTTCTTTTAAGGGCATGTGTTTTCTCTTCTGTTGTATTGGATTATAAAATTTATTCTTTCTGTATATACTACACTAAGTGCATTATCAAAATCGCAACAAATGTTACGAAACCTTTGATCATCACTTTAACTAGAACGAGTTTTTGGAGATAGGATTCTATAATAAATTCAAGATATTCATGAAACCTATAAATCGACAGAAAGATATGTATAATTTCCCGTTGGTGATTCCAATTGTTTCTAGTTTGCTTCACTAATGTGTTGAGGGATGCTCTAGGTATGAGGCGCTTGTTTCCAGTGATGGAGAAGTAGAAAAGTTAGCAGGCAGGACGCTAGAGCCACTGTTGCCACATTTACCAGAAGTAAATGAATTGCATCGGAAGGGAACGAATGCCAGCCTCACACTTCGACTTCCTAAAAGCCTGCATGGTGCAGCCTGGTTCACGAAGTCGACTTTCACCAGGTTTTAAACACACTAGTGTTTTACTTTTCTTGTCTTTTTACCTTTAGTTTATAATAAAGACTTGTAATAATTCCTACCACTAGAATTCTTTTAACCTTTCACTTTTGGAAATTATCCATTTTATTTCCTGATTCACAAATTGTTTTACTTCATCACAGATTCCTGCAAATTACTGGTTCACCAGAAATAATGCAAACCATTACAGCTACCGAAGAAGAAATATCTCAACTGGAAGAAGCCAGAAAGTTTCATGTTTCTTTATATGGCCAGGTCCCTTCTCCCTTCTTTCAAGATTGATGTTTGAATGTATGGTTTAATAACTATTCTGTTATCTGGTAACTAAGGTGTGTGATTTTTGTCAACAGTCTGAAGCTGAGATTGCATCATCAGATGCTTCAAAGTAAGTCCTTTTAATTCTTCATTTAAAATTTCATTTGAGTTGCATCAGCCTGACGCTATAGGAATTTGTGCTGTCAGGAACGAACTTTTGCGGGCTTTGGATTTGAGGCTCACAGCACTAAAAGGGGAATTAATTACCGCTGTTGAAAAGGCTTCTCATTCCTCGTTTAACACTAAAGAGATTTCAAATTTAGCAAACTTTTCTCAACATTTTGGAACAACAGATTTCAGGTAGTCACTTAGATTGATAGAAAGTGCACTGGTATTTTAGCTTCCTAGTTGCTCTGAAAGAATCCGTTGTTTGAAGATTTATCTGCTAAATTTTCTTACATAGGCAGTACTGTGGTGAAAATGCAGGAATGCTCTGTTAAAGATTTTAGAACAGTATCAACAAAGCAAGAGTGGTGATCCTCAAAATGATGACAAGTGCGGCAATTTTGGAATTGCGAATGTTGATAAGACAAATGGAAGTGCTCAGATATCAAAGCCCATGAATTTTGATACGCCAGTAAAATATAGTGTTTCACCTGCAAAAGCTGCCCAGGTTGAGCGCCAGAGTTCAACCGAAAGCAGGGAGTCATCTGAGTCAAGTGATGAGGAGCAAACATCTGCAGAAAGAAGTCGGAGTCTTATGAGAAGTGCCACATCTAGAAGGTCAGCATCTCCAATGCGGAGGATTCAAATAGGGAGAACTGGATCGCGCAGAGCCGCTGCATTAACCATTAAAAGCCTCAATTACTTTCCTTCTAGGGAAAAGCCTTTTTCTGAAGAGGGTGAACCTGAACACTCAAATAAGAAATCTGAGAGTAATGCACTGAGGATGAGTGTTCAAGATGCAATTAGTCTTTTCGAAAGCAAACAAAGAGATCAAGCTGCTGCAGATGCTCAAAAAAGGAGCTCGTTAACAAATATCTCTACGAGTACAAATAAAGCTGTTTTAAGAAGGTGGAATTCAAGTTTGGGGGAAGCTTCCACCCAATGCCAATCTGAAATTGTCTCTGGAGACCGTGTTCCAACGACTCCCAATGATATACCAAATGATGAGATGCCAACATCTTCAGAAGAAGTGAAACCAGAGTCTGACCTTTTACCCACAGATCAAAGTACTATTGAAGCTCCTAAACCTGCAGTTAACGAAGGAAAATTTGAGAAAAAATTATCTAGTCCAATTGATAATGAAGCAGACTCTAATGTAACTCCGGGAGAGAAAAGTAATCAAAAATCAACAGCATCAATGGAATGGACTCGAGAAAGGGAAGCAGAATTGAACCGAATGCTGATGAAAATGATGGAAAGTAAGCCTATTAAGCCTGTGAAGCCTGTTAAGCCTGTGAAGCCTGTTAAATCTACAAAGCCTCAAGCTACCAGAAATCAAAGCCTTCCTTCTGAACAGAGAGGTGGCTTTTATGACCACTACAAGGAGAAGAGAGATGAAAAACTACGAGGTGAGAATTCTAGAAAGCGAGCAGAGAAAGAAGCCCAATTCAAAGCCATGCAACAAATTCTTGATGAAAGGAAAGCTGAAATGTCCTCTACAAAGGCGAATGATATTGATAAAAAAAGTGCCATGCAGAAGCCCCAAAAATCACTTGGAAAAGTATCTCAACCTGCAAATCCTAGAAAGGAAAATGCAAAACCTTCTGTTACAAAGAAGGCTTTGCCTAGAACATCACCCTTGCCTGCTACACGCAAGTCATGGCCATCGACACCAACACCGAGAGCCACAGGGGCATCGCCAGCTAGAACTCCAGTTGGGGTCTCTTCTACCAGCACTACCCCTACCCGTCAAAAACCCAAGCCAACACCACCCAGCACTAAAGTGGAAAGACCCCTGCAGCGACAGAGGAATGTGAAGGAATCTGTGAGTACTAATGACAGGAGCTCAAAGGGAGTGAATGAGAAGCAGCAGCAAGCAGTGAAAAAGAGTGGTAAAACAACAAAACCCAAAGTAGCGACAACCTCTGGTGATTATTCTGATATAATTTCAGCAAAGCACAGCAAGGTGACCAAGAAAAGCAGTGTAGTTCCAGTGGAATCAAAACCATTTCTTCGGAAGGGTTCTCGAATGAGCCCTGGTGTTGGTCCCGTTGTTAACAAGACAAGAACTTCTCCTCACTCGGAGGAATCTTTGGGAAACAGCACAAATATGATTGAGACTCAAGAGGATGAGGTAATTGGTAGTGCCTCTGATCCTGTGAGTCAGCATCAAGAGCCAGATGTTGTGTCAGTCAGCCCTTCAAATGATGCTGTGGAACCAGAAGCTCTGGTAAATGATAGCCTGACATGTAGTGAGACACAACATGTTGACCCAGTTTCTCCTGATCGTAATGATGACTTAAAAAATGTTGCAGAATCATCATTGCAAGTTCAAGCTGAAGAAGAATCAACCATCTCCCCAAGTGCTTGGGTGGAAATAGAGGAGCATCAGGCCATGCCCCCTTGTAACAACGGCTCATCTCAAGTAACTACTTCAGCCAATGTTGCACCAGCTGGCCTGTCAAGTCCTCGTGTCCGTCATTCTTTGTCCCAGATGCTGCAAGAGGAAATTAACGGACCAGATAATATTGAGTGGGGAAATGCTGAAAATCCTCCTGCCATTGTGTTCCAAAAGGATGCCCCAAAAGGACTGAAGAGGCTCTTAAAGTTTGCTCGGAAGAGCAAGGGAGATGGTAATTTGACTGATTGGTCTAGTCCGCCAGTTTTCTCTGAAGGAGAGGATGATGTTGACAGTGTACTCAGAAAGGCTTCGCTTCATACAAGGAACTATGAACCATACTCTAGTAAGTTTTCTATTTGACAAAAGCAGATGGTATTTCATATTGTAGTTGTGAAAAGTTAGACGTTTGAATGTTCATCTTTTTCCTCGTGCTATTAACATTTTGGATTTGTGCATGCAGCTCAATCAAATATTAGCAGATTCGACGATCAGAGTTCTTCACATAAGTCACAAGAGAACCGTGACGCAGCTGCAGGACCCGCAACTAAAGGTTGTCTTCCCACGCGACTAGAGTATACACAGTATCGTTTTCTTTGATTTGTTTTTCTTGCAAATTTTTCTACACCTGCATACAGAATTTCAACGCGCCAATTCTAATTCGCTTAATAAGATTCCAACGCTACTATCTTTGTGTTTCAGCTGCAACAAGGTCATTCTTCTCTCTTTCAGCGTTTAGAGGCAGCAAACCAAATGAAATGAAGTTTCGCTAATCCTAGAGGCGCATGTGGAGTACCGGAGTCAGATTCTGCGAAACCTTCAATTTTTCGTTCACTGTCGTTGTAGCATACTAGCATGCATGATGCATTCATCCCTATACTTGTGGCATTTCTTTTTACTTCTTTTCTTGTGTTAGTACTGTGTTGCCGGGTCTTTGTACATGCTATATGCCCTTGTTCTGTTGTTCTCAGAGATTTAAACAGAGCTCTTGTTCTTAACCCTTATGCTTCGGATGTCAAAGCGACTACAGATCGGTACATTGGCATCAATATGAATGCTTTGCGTATCTTGGCATCAATACGAATGCTTTGTGACAGAGGATGTCTGTTTCCTAAGTTCTTTACAAAATTACATAGTAAAATGCCGACTTCGTCTTCATTATTTGCGTCACCCGAATTGCGAAGAGCACGTCATTTACCAGTTTTCTCTTGGGCCTTTTTGTGCGTGCGGATGATCCTTGCGCCCAAGAATTTATCTACATGTGCGGTCGGTTGGGAAAATTCTTGGGTGCGGAGGTCAACCACACGCACCACCCCATCCTCTTGTATTTTGATCCTACCCACCCCCGGTCACACCAACTTGCGTCTAGCGCGGCGTCCAGACTGAAGAATTTCGCATACATGTTGGAAAAATATCATAGTTGCAACCTAATACCATATCCAAATCTTATCCAGGTAGATCTCGGTTGCAACCTCACATCTTGTTTCACGTAGATGGCGGCTTATGAATCGAAGGAGACGATGCAAAACGAATGCTAATTCGTGCAACAATGTCGAGAGGTGCCGAGACTCAAAGAGAAATTATCCATCGAAACTTATATCTACATGTAGTATTCTCAACAGTTTTTAAAATTAATCAGTCTGTGATGAGTTAGATATTGCAACAGAATCAGGGAAGTTGGTCCTTACAAGAACAGAAGAGATCAGACCGAATCATGCTTTCATGTGAGTTGGTCCTCCAAAGAACTGATGTGCTTTTCCCTCCTCAGAAATCGAAGGTACGGGAAAATCACGTACGTATGAGACCCATAATAACATGAAAATATTTGATACAGTCGTTTTATGCTGGCCGCGGCAGCACAGTCACCCAAGGATAACTGAAGAGATGAAAGCTTCACAAGTTCATATCCAATGACAATGTGATTAGGGTTATAGAGCTTCTCCAGGATCTGCCAATTGCCAACGCGAATGTGAAAACGTCAATTGGAATTATGCACGAGAAAAATACACCAAGTGACTAGTGAGATATTTTTATAAAAACCAAAGAAGATCTACTTCATTTTAATTCACAAATAACTATCTATGAATACATATCCTTGCAGAATTTAGATCTAATCAACACTAATGCATAAAGTTCAGGATGATATGGCTTGTGTACGACAAGAATTTTACCTCGATTGATGCTTTGCAATGTTCCATGGCGGGTTGTAACTCTCCGACCAAACAAAATGCCTGAGCAAGATTGTCTTCCGCCTGCAAATGTCGAATTATTTTAGTTAACCGTATACAAATAAAAGTTGCACATTCAAATGATATAAACAATGGCCAAGTAGCTCCTTAGATAAAAACGTAGAGTTAAAGATCCTAATGATTTTAGTGATGATAAATTTCTAAGATACAAAAGGGTGGTCAGAACTCACTTCTGCAATGCTCCTATTATATGCAAAAAATGTTGATCTCAGCAGACCAAGAGAACTTAAAGCATCCAAAGGTACGGTACTAGAAACATCTTGTGAGACTATTGCATCCTGTAGTCTGTCAAGAAATGAACAGTCAATACTCCAGCACGCATAGTGAACATAGAAAATAGGCACTCCGGTAATTTGGAAAGATAAGAACCACTTTTCAGACAGTGTTATACCTTCTGATGCACATCCGAGCTTTATCTGCAGCTGCAGAGGAAGATTCCAGATCACGATAAGAACCACATTTTAAACAAAAGCCCGGATTAATGTCGAAAACATTATTGGGTTGCACATGAGGAGCCAGTTTATTGATCTCATCAGTATTGAACTCTTCAACCTGTATGATCATAAATGAAAATCAATAAAAAAAATTCAGTTAAGGACCACATGAAAAGAACCGAAAGTGACTTGGGAGATCATACATTCCTGAGATATATAGTTATTTACAATACCTGAAGATGAGGCTCCACACTACTAGTGCTGATGATACTGGGCAAATACTTAAGTTTCTCTCTTTCAATGTTAACAATGCCGGTATCCAAGACTATGCCGGAACAATTTGGTTTGACACAGTGAAAACCATTTAGGGCCAGGTCGGAAAAGTTCACATTTAAACAACCCCTACACTGACATCGAAATGAGTACTCATCTTCCAGAAACTTGACACGGTCCTTACAGTCCCACTGCCCAATCTGTATAAACAAAACTTAGTTTATAGTAAGAACAGAAATTTGTAGTGTTTCACCATGTAGAAAGGGCCCTTCGGAAGGGCTACCTGCATTGATACACAATTACATATACAGCTCCTTCATTGACAAGATTCAACATCACCATAGCATTTCATGGAAGAACATCATAATCTTATTCCATATTAGAAAAACTGAACAATATAATGGTAACTGGGCATACCTGTGGACCATATGAAAATTCCAAAGGAACCCCCGATGCGACAAATTCTGTTGTTCGTATAAAGAGAGTGCGTAAAAGGAAATATGCATGGATGTTTGGCTGACAAGAATGGTTGAACAGACTTCCGGATAAATAGATTGCTTGACCTACTTTGACCTATATAAGTAGCAAAAATAATGTTGCAGATAGATCAGAGGGCATAATATTTATGAATTGAGGTTCGATGTACATAAACAGATCAACTGATCAACACAAGCATCTTTTACATAAATTATCACAAGTGTCACAAATGAAAATAGCCACTTCATAAAGATCGTTCAACGCAAGAGCAGTGAACAAGGATGGCAAGGATGGTCAGGAAAAGAGGAGAAACAAACAAGAACAAATAAAAACAAAAGCATACCATAAATGCGAACCTGTTCCATATTACTAGTTAGACCTTCTCCCCAAGGTGTAAGCTTTCCAAATTGATCTTCTAACCCATGATAATCAATGGATTTCATACGAACAATTGTCATAGAGTTCACCCTAATTTGGGATATAAGTATGACAATCTGCAACAACAGGGGAATGGAACCTCATATAACAGATGACAATCAAGATGTGACATATAAAATCCTTTTGAAATATAGGTCATCCAAGTATTTACAGATGTCAAAAAAAAAGTTCAATATTTATTACAATCTCTGAAATGATAACATAATTTGGTGATGATACCAATGAACAAATTTAGGATCTGCACGTGCACCTTGCATTTATGAGAGCATTGGGTTTGTACGTGTGTGTGTGTGTAAGTGAGTGAGAGAAAGACTGAGAGATAGAGAGGCGACCTGTGAAATAGAGAGCCCATTTATTGGTAATTCAAAACCATCGGAATGCTGAAGACAGTATAATAATACAGCAGAATATATATGTAATTCCAACTTCGTTTCTGGAGGCATTTTCGAATAATGATGAGAAAGATCCTGCAAGAAAAAATAGAGGTCATTAGCTACAAGTAAAATCTATTCATGAGATAGTGATATGATAAATTGAAATGAAAGTTAGTACTGTGGACAATATAATAAGTATATGTACCGAAATTTCACTAAGATGAAAAGTATCAGTGGAACCTCTTCTTTTGATCACAGACTTTACTAGCACTCGGCCAGCCAAAACTATCTCTGATGGCAATACTGCTGGCCAGTGTACACCTTTACATTCATGTTTATGTTCAGGAATGTGCTCAGTACCTGTTTCAGGTTCAACATTTAAAGTGGTATCTGCAATGTACTTTTCAAGATCGGCTGACAGATTTTCAAGAATGTTTTGATTGCTGGGGTAATCCCAGCACATTTTTCCTCCTGCTTGTATACGGCATTTCTGGGAGCAATACAATGGTGTTGAACATGATGTACATGGGACTTTATCCGCGGGTAGCTCATTCAAGCAGTAGTGGCAGTGAGTTTCCCGACAAGGCTTTAATATTATCTGCAAAACACCAGGCCAAAATTTCATCCATCAGTATTGCACAGAAATGCACCAATCCCTCCCTTTGGGAAGGGAAAAGAAGACAAGGCAGTGGACCACACCACAAATATAGCATCAGGATTCAAGAAAAGCTGAATAAAAAGGAAATCTACTTGGACTGAAACACTAAAATCTAAAATTAAAGGAAATTAACAAGATTAAAAAGTAAATAATAGCAAATATGAAAGAGATGTCAGTTCATACCATTGCAAAAGGGTCTTCTGTATGTACCAAGGAGGCTTGAGGAAGGTCACTGGTTGAAGTCATACCCCTTCCTTTCTCTGGTGTGGTGACACATTGTAATTCCATTTGGCGCAGTTCATCTGGTGGATTACAACGTACTTTAATTAGGTCATTAGTACTTGCATCCCCAAGATGAGTTACGACTAGCTTTATTAGAAAGAAAATAACTGTTGCGAAGTTTAACCAGTAAAACAAGCTGCACAGTCACAGGTATCTTAGAAAAACTGGAAACCATGTAAAGACTGCATTAAGAGTTTTAATAACAAAAGTACACTAGAAATGAGACCATTGGCCACTGCTACATCCTAACGTAAGTGTGAAAAATCCATCAGCTTAAGTGAATATAATGTAAGACACACAAATATTATGAAATAACGAATACTCCAAGCGAGTTATATCATTTCAAGCTGTTAGGCGTCAACATGGATTCATATTTGTAGCTTTTGTATGTCTCCAAATTGTTATTTATTCATCTGTTGTTTTAATCACAGGGTTTAGAAAAACGTATTGGGGCCAATCTCTAAAATTATCTTGAGAAACCATGGAATGATTATTCATCAAAAGTGAGCAGTGACTGTCAGTCCAGAGGTCAAAAGATTTGAATATAGTCACATACTTTAATACTTAACAGTGTTAATATCTTACCGAAAATACTTGAGTTATTCTCGTTATCTTGTTCTGATGGATTCATACTTTTATGCTGATCTGAAATTATCTTCATCTCACTTTCTATCTGTCTCTTTCCACTCATTGACAACTCCAGAACCTTAGCAACATCCAAGTCACGGATTGCATCCTCATAATTTCCGATAGAAGCATTTGCCTTGCCCCTTCTATACCATGCCTGCAGCACATACAAAAAATGTAAATTTGGAAAAACTAGCGCAACTCCTTTTGTTACCCTTGTTCTATAGTCACAAAGGAGTCAAACTCAAATCCACGCTACAAAACACGAAATAGCGCAACACAATAAAAGCATTTCACCTTTGCATAGTTTGAAGAAGTTTGAAGTGCCCGATTGCAGTCTCGTACACACTCCCTCAGAAGACCCAGTTTCTAAAAGAAAACATATAGCAGTAAGCAATGAAATCTGTCGAAAAAGCTTTGAACTTTTAAGTTTGGTGCATACACAATTACCCACATATCTAAAGAATGAGACTTACCTGCAACACAGAAGCCCGATTTGTATACAAAGTAGCAACCAGATTTCTGTCTTCATCTACATCCATAGGAGCAACTCTCAATGCCTGTGTGCCCCATGCCAATGAAAAATATATACAAACATAATATAGAATTAGCAATGCCTACTGTTTAGAGAAGTAATCTCAAATACAGAAGTACCTGGGTATAGCAATCCAAAGCTTCAGCATAATCACTTCTCAAAAAGCACTTATTGCCCTTTTGCTTCGCCTCCAAAGCAGCTTCTATGTTCTTTCCACAGAGAGCTACTTCAGGGTCCGCTAAGTCCCTCACCATCTGATAAAATCCCACAAATTCCAATCAATTTCTTATCTGATTTCTTCTGTTCCTGTTTCCTTTTCGAAGCTCGCAAATTTCAGTGTATAAAGATATCGACTTACTTGGTGAAAGGGCTCGAAGTGGAGGAGAAAATCGGCGAGAGAAGAGCAGTTTCGAGGAAGATCGTCGGCGGTGCTGGCGGCGATCGATCGCTTTAGGGTTTCTGGAACCAGAGACTTCAGCTTCTCCATGAGAGCGGGTTTTTGAGCTTTGGAACTTCACCCAACGGCTATTTGCTACCCGCCGAACGGCCACGCCGCTTTTGCTCCGCTTTTCACACACGTGTGAAGCCAGTTTCTTTCATTTTTTTTGGAAATCACACGTGATGTGAAGTAACCACGAAGGCCGTTGGCTACTCAAATGAGAAGTAGGAGTTTGTACTTAAAATCGTTCATTTGTCGACATACAGAATTTTGTGTTTATGATTTAAGTCATTTATATTATAAATCAGTCTATAAGAGCGCCTTTACAAAAAATCAACTAAAATTAAGGCCTCATCCAATTATATAAAAACAGGTGAACGAAAATAGTAAAAGCATTAGGAATAATATGTATTTACTATAATAGGTTGATTAAACAACCTTAGTTTTAAAGGAAAATTAATGAAAATGACTTGAAAATTTTGACATTTAACGATAAGGATAAAATAAAAGGAAAACTAATGAAAATAGCTTGAAAACTTTGAGTTTTAATGATAAGGACAAAATAAAAGGTAAAATGAATAGTACTAAAATTGACTTTTTAGAGTAAAATTGTGATTTTTCATTAAAGTGAACAGTACCGTGAGCTTTTCGTTTAAACTCTCTAAAATAAAAGGTAAAATGAATAGTACCATGATTGACTTTTTAATGTAAAAATGTGATTTTTCGTTAAAATGAACAATACGAGAGCTTTTCGTTAAAGTTCTCTAGTTTTAATTCATTTTTTTGCAGAGATGATATTTATAAGGTGATTCATTATATGAACAGTTATGATCATAAACACAAAGCTCTGTATTAGAACACGAAGAATTTTAAGTAAAAGATTCTACTCATAGTAGCCAAGCATTGTTACTTGCTACTGTGTTCCCTGAAATTAGAAAAAGGGGGGGGGGGGGGGGAGTCAAGGTCCAGTTGTATCAAAGAGAAGTGCAGCAACCCGAAATACCAAATCAAATTTCGAATCGCATTTTAACCATGTTTAGTACAACAAATCAATGTTTTGCACTACTTGATTCAACATGTTTTTATGGTACAACAACATATGTAATTCCGTAATGCTTCATTTGATTACACTCCCCTTAAAATCCCTCGTCCAAACACAAAGCTGAGAAACAAAATCCACAAAATTTATACGAAAATCATAAGATTCTGTTGTTGTAACAAAATCCATATTACAAACACAATGCTTTCCACTAAGCCCAAACTCTTTTTCTGGGCACAAGATCTGATGTTTTTATGTCATCTATTCTGGCAGCCACGATGAAATCATTCATGCTCAATCCTCCTGCAATCAAAGTTACCTGTTAGCCCAATCAAAACTTTCTAAAGTTAAGCGTGTGTGGACGTAGCCTCATTGGACGTCACCTGTGTTAATTTAGAATATCGCTTGTATTAAAAAAAGTAGAGACGTTGTAACAAGATGTTTTACCAATGGAAGATGTCCATAGCTCTGCTCTAACTTGGTTGGGTTGCTCCAAGTGAAGGTTTGGGAAATGCCCTGCAGAATCCACAACCTTATAAATCCTGTTGATGAGTTCAACCCCACATTGATAATCTCTCAACTTCCACAGGCACTGCAATTTCAGCCCACCTTCTCCAACTATCAATCTCCACCCAATAACCTACAGAAAACAAAAGGCACATTTCAACTCTACAAACACAACCGAAGCAGGGCGGGCGTAGCCATATTGGTTGGAGCGGATGTGCCAAGTTCACCCAAAGTCCGAATCCCCCTCGCGCCCGCAGTTTGTATTGTATCAAAAAACAGACAACCCACAAAGTCCTGAACTTTGAACAGAACCCAAAAGGGTCCCCTCCCTCAAGTGAAGTTGATATTTTTCGTTTATGATAAAAGAAAAAAAGACAGAGACTGAAAGGGTAATTTCATCGAACACCATATGGGCATCTCATATAAAATGGGCATGTACGTGAAGAATCGAATTGACCTTTCTGAGGAGCTCCTTGGCATCGTCCTCCGCCATAGGAGGCTGGAGGGGAGAGACGGGGCTGCAGTCTAACTGGGACAGAGAGAGAGCAGACAAATTGGGGATGAGGATTTTGTGGTCGGTGTTGCCGCTGCCCAGCACCTTCTCACCAAACCCACTCGCTATCTCAGCCGGAAAGGGGTCTCTGGCACCGAAATCCCCCAGCATGTCATTGCCCAGAGCCTGAGTTCGCAGGCCGAGTCGAACCCGAGTTGGAACGGTGGTTAAGGTGGGTAGGTAGTGGTGGCGGCGGTGAGTTGGAAGGGAGAGATGGGGTAAGGAAAGGATGATGGTAGCCATGGCCATGGGGGATGTGCAGGCAGAGTGCTGCTTTGAGGGTCGTTTGGATTGGTGTTTGCTTATCTTGGATTCCAGGGAAAGGTCGGTTCTCAGTGGCTGGATAAAACCCACGTCATTAACTAATGGTATTATGTTTTTTTATTTTTATTTTTTTCAATTTTAAGAAATCATGTTTTTGCTATAAAGGTGCGTTTACTAATCCGTAATCAAAAGGGAGAGAATTGAATTGAGGAGGAATTGAATTGAGAAGGAATTGAATGAGGTGGAATCAGAATCAGATTCTTATAAAAGTCGTTTACTAAAACTTTATGAAATCGAAATATGAATGATATAAACTGTTTACTAATTCATATGAATCGGAATGAATATTAATGTGATTACTAAAATATCCTTGTGTTAGGTAATATATAAATTTTTTTGGATTTAGGGCTGGTTTGGTATTGCTGTGCTTTGAAAAAAAGCTGATTTTGCTGTGCTGTGAGAATAAGCGGCTGTGAAATAAAGCAGCAAAGTGTTTGGTAAACTTTTTTGTAAAAGTGCTTTTGAAAAAAAAAATAGTATTATAGTGTATGGTAAACTTTTATGTAAAACAGATGTGAAAAAAAACAGATTTTTCAAAGCTGGGTTTTGCAGCTTCTTGTTTTTGGCTTTTTTTACCCAAAACTGTGAAAAAAAACAGAAGCTGAATGTTTACCAAACACAAAAATAGCTCTAACTTTTTTTGATACCAACTTTTTCAAAAAACACCTTAGTACTAAATCAGGTCTTAAACATCCGAAAACAGGGCCAGCCAGAACAAAAGGGCCATCAGTTTCTCTCTGTGCCGATACCAGCCCTCGTTCTGCCGCCGCCACCACCACACACAAACTCTTTCTATCGATACCAACCCTCTGTTTCGTTTGCATCTCACCAGCTCTTCCACCGAAGCACCTCATTCGCCAATACCAACTCGCATAGTACTTCCTAATTCACCCTGCAATCATGACGCCCAATCCCTATTCCACCAAATTTGACCTTTGTCTTCACCAAATCATACACAAAATAGAAGATAGAATTGTTACCATATCTTATTGTCATATATAAGGTGGGTTGTGCTGGGAAAGTGCTATAATGGGTTGCCGGTGTGTGGATCAAGATGGGTCAGTGGTGGATGACTATGGACAAACAGAAAGCAAAAACCCACTGTGGTGGCTAACGGACGAGATTGAATGGTCGACTCGGCGGATGAGTCGAATCAATTTTGGTGTTCTTGCTGGTATGTGTAAGTTCGGTGTCGTGGTGGTGGTCAAGGTGTACGGAGTCGGCGGAGGAGAAACGAAGGAGAGGGTGCGCTACTGGTGACAGGTACAAGGGTATTTTGGGTAGAAATGTTTGATTACAGAAGAAAGCTTTCTCCGGGAATTCAATTACCACCTCCATGTAGGTAATTGAATTCCGGAAGATTAAGGAATTCGATTCCGGATTTTAAGTGGGTCCCACTTACTTTTTCATTCCTTACATGTTAGTAAACACCGGAATGCTTCGGGAGGAATACGATTCCGTTTCTTTCCATTTCATTCATGTTTGGTAAACGTGCCCTAAGTGATTTTGGGTATATGTATTCGAACATAGAAAATCGGGTACAAAACATATATGCTTAAGGCTTATTTTTAGTTACGTCTCTTAGAACTCGATTTTAAACTCATTTGATTCATGTAACTCAAAATTTGCTCTATATTGCCTTAAATCTGTTAATTTCTTATGTGAGTTTGATTTGTGTGTGCCAAGTTAAACAAATTTCATTTTTTTTTTTTTTTCATCTCTTCAATTTCTTTTAAATTTAATATTATATAATTATTGAATGTTAATGTACAATGTTATTTATAATCAAATGTATTTCACATATGATATAGTCTTATTGGGTGTTGGGTCTCACATATGTTCTAAGAGTCAACCTATAATTTTCAAGGAGAAGAGAGAGTCTACAAGTCAAAGTGGAACGAATTTTGAGTTTCAATGAAAAAAATGGTGACTTTTGAGTTGCATAAGCAATGTGAGATAAAAATAAAGTTCCAAGAGGCGTAATTAAAAATAATTTTTTTTTTAATTACTTGAATTACAAACTTCCAACATATGTTAAGAAAATGTTCATTGATATTGAACTATTGTGCAATTATCTCACTTATGACGAGATTTTAGTATTGTTCCTCCTCAGAATTGTGGTAGTGATTATTTTATCAATTTCTTTTATGTTTTGATTCAATTTTTTTACAGGGTTAATTAGTTTGAAAGTGTCTACCAAATCAAACTGCAAAATTAAAATAGAGAAAGGCTAGAGATACCAAAATCTTCACTAAATTTGTGCACCAAATGATGCGCATGTATATTTTACACCACATAAATTTTTATGGGACATTTTGATATAGGCGTCTCGTTTTTTTAATTTTTTTTAGACTAAACATATACTCCTTTTAGAAATTTGATCAAACATTTTCCTAAAATTTTGGTTATTAATTTTAGTTTTTCACATAAGTTCAACTTTGTTTAGAATTTTAGTTTTTCACGCTTCTCCTGGGCATTTCATTTTCATTTTTTTTTCTTTACCTATTATCCCTATATTTATGCATTTATTATCCATCTCTATGCTTTTGTTTTTATTGTTTGTTATAATTTTTATTTTTTGTGTGAATATAGTAGAACACTTATAGAAAATTTGTCAGATTTGATTATTTGAAAAGACCGAGCACATAATAAAGATTTGTTTGATTATACAGCTACGTCTAGTTACCTATAATATGGATACATTTAGTTTTATAGTGGATTTGATTTTTTGTATTTCTTAATACATTTGGAATGTAAATGTACCAAAAAGGTTATCTGATAAAGACATTTGGTTTTGTAATGGATTTCAGATTTTTTGTTCATTTGGTCTTTTAGTACATTTGGAATCTAAACTTACCAAAAGGGTTGCTTGACAATGGGTACATTTGGTTTTATGGTACATTTGGTTTATCGGTACATTTGAAATCTAAACGTACCAAAAGGGTTACATAACAATGGGTACATTTGAATTTTTGGTACATTTGGTTTCTCGGTACACTTGAAAACTAAACGTACCAAAAGTTGGTACTTTTGTTCTCAAATGTACCATAAGTTTTAAGTATATTATATATATATATATATCATATTTATACGTGAAAAAATACGTATTGAAAACTTTTTATTGAGACACTTTTAATCGAAAGAGAACTTTTTTTTTATTTAAAAATACTGATAATAAGGAAATGAGGAATTAGTTAATTTTTTTTTATTTTATTAAAAAATGTCATTTAATACGTAAAAGGGGATTGACGAAATTAAATTCCTATATTATAGGCAATTAGTTGCTAAGCTATCTTATGCTTCTAAATAAATGCATTTATTTTAAATGAAAACTAATGAAAAAGATTTGAAAACTTTGAGTTTTAACGATAAGAACAAAATAAACGGTAAAGTGAATAGTACCAGGATTGACTTTTTAGTGTAAAAATATGGTTTTTCGTTAAAGTGAACAGTATCAGGAGCTTTTCGTTAAAGTTCCCTTAAATTAATGACATAGAAATTAAATAAATAGAAAGTTATTGAGGTGACAATTGATCAAAGCACCTTAATCAAATCTTTAAAAAGGATGAATATTTAATCTAATATATAGGAAATTCTAATTTTCTCAATTTTTATTACACAAATTTAGTGCATGAATTTTGTGTCTTTCGCATTATTCATTAAAATATTCTAAACCCTATGTGAGGAGCATTCATCAGTTGATTGGTAAGAGGAAAAAACAGAAAAAAATTAAAAAGTATACTTTTATTATCAAACAATAAAAATGAAATTTATTAAGGGGTATACTATCTACACACATTTTTTTACTTCTCACACACACCTTGTTAATTTATATCCTTTGATCTTCTTTGATTCAGTCAATCTGATGGCCGCAAATTAAAATGGTGTATATGAAGTAAAAAGGGGTGTGTGGATAACACACACCTTTTTCAATTCCACTTATTTATGGACGACTAATGCTAGGGAGACCAAATTTTTTAAATTAAATTTGCAAGTCAAATGATGTGGTTGTAGATGATTGAATTATTAATTAAGTGTCGATTAATATGCTTATTTCGTTTTGGTGAAACGTCATTTGTTTTGCAATTTGGTCTCCTTAACATTATTCTTTATGGATATACCACCTCTGTGTCCTTTCTTCCTCTTTTGCAATAGTCATACGCTCACCAATACATGGAATTCAACTTATAAATTATTTATATTAAATATTCTAATTCTGATAGGATTGGCCACTGTCTTCTATGGAGTGGTGATGCCTGCATAAATTAAATAAGATTTACTTGAAGTTACAAGGGAGGGAGAGTATATGGAGTGCAAATTCAGTAAGAATAAGTAATGATAGAGAAACTTAATTTATAGATAAAATCTTGTAAACTAAATAACAAGGAAGTTGACAATTAGATTATTACTTAAACATTGAAAAACGTGCTCATTTTTTTATTGGTGACATATCACTTAGTTTGCAAATTTTATCTACAAATTTAGTCTGTCTTGCACTACTCAAGAATTTAAAGGTTTTCACTTAAGTAGGTCAAGGAAAAAGTATATGGAGTGCAAGTTCAGTGGGATTGGATATTCAAATGAGTTAGGAATGAGGATTGGAGATTAAGAAGTACAAAAAAGCGAACGCTTTCGCTATCTTATATCTATCTTGCAAAAAAACAGAGAATTAGATAGAGACCTCAATTATAAAATACAAGCTGGATGGATGAAGTAGAAGAATACATCGCGTGCGTTGAACGACCGTTGAATGCCACTAAAGCTCAAGGAAAATTTTATAGAAAGACAATAAGGCCAACAATGCTTTATTGTATGGAATGTTGGGCGGTGAAGCACTACACATACACAAAATGAGTGTAACGGATATAAGAATTCTTCGTTAGATGTGTGGACACATGGGAAAGGACAAAATTAGGAACGAGAATATCCGAGATAAATTAGGAGTAGCCAAATGAAGATAAGATGAGAAACAATCGGTTAAGATGATTTGGACATCTAAAACGAAGGCCTACAGACCCTTCGGCTACAAGATGTGATTACAATGTTGGTGCTTAAGATTTTGCAGCTGCATTTGATCCAAGCTTCATGTTTCCTTACAATTTCGAGGGTTTGTTCTTAGTTTGTAATGTAGGGCTGGAATTAAAACAAAGCTAATAGGTTAGATGTGTGTCACATGTCATAACAACTCACTTATAAGTGAGCATGTGTTGTCCATGTGAGTGTGTAAGTTGGATGAATGTGTGCGCCTCCAACGGCTATAACTCACCCTCTATTTCCATTTTCTCTAAGCATCAATTCAGTTACACCTAAATCGAAGTCAAGGAGCTATGATTATGAGTTTCTTGCATCACTATTCTTCCATGCTCTTAGAGTAGAGATCATCATCTCATTGATTTTTCTGCTTGAATGATTTGCTCTGATACCTCTAATACTACACACAGATCATAAACACTAATATATGAGACATAGACTCAGGGACAAAGGGGTAGAGGAAGACCTAGGAAGACTTGGAAAGTGATCTAAGAAAATACTTGGACTACTTGGACCTAACGAAAGATATAGCACAAAACCAAGCGCAGTGGCATTCTTGGATTTATATAGTCGACTCCACTTAGTAGGATAAATTTTTTTGTTGTTGTTGTTGTGAAGGGGAGAGAGAGAGAGAGAGAGAGAGAGAGAGGGAGAGAGAGAGAGAGAGAGGGGGGAGAGACTCACTGCCACACTTGAAGCTGTGAGGGACACACTTTCCGCAATGTCGAACCTGCTGAATGGTATATGCTGGACGGAGATCAAATTAGTGATCTTGGGAGTAACGTGGGGGCAGAAGTACTCGAAGTGCATAAGCCTAAAGCGTTGGCAGCAGTATGCGGAAGCTTTCTGCCCCATGAAAACTCGCTTGCACGCACTGATCAGAATGTTGTTCTCCTGCTTGCACTGGCTAGGGCTCGTATCCGCCTCCGCCGCCATTACCATGTATAATATGATGAACCCTAATAGTAACACTGTTGCCACTTGCTGCCTCATGATATGATATGTTTCTGCTGATTTCTTTTTTCTTTTTTCCCTTCTCTTTCTTAATTGATTTTTCAATTATTTAGGTTGTTGTGGCAACTGTAGCAATACCCCATTTTATAGGTTGAGAGAGGATGGATGGTTCAATAATTTAGGGCAACCAGTCAACCAAGACTACCGACGCTTGGATATTTTTCATTGTAAGGAGGGAGATATTTTTCAGTATGCTCAAAACACAAGGTTGTATACTACGTGTTATTATATATACAAGTGGTGAGATACTTGTGTTAAAAAATAAAATTTTCCTCTATTTATATAATGACATGTGGTTAGTGGTGGATCTAAAATTTTAATACAAGATAATCCCAATATAAAAGCTTAAAAAAAGAGATGAAAATAACATTGAAAAAATAAACGACAAATTACAATTTTTCATTCATAATCTTTGTGCAAAATAATCACAAGCTACAAAAACTAAATTTGTCCACAATAAGCTTTTATAATTTAAAAACGTATCATGATAGTTGATTATCAATTCAGAAAAAAAAAAAAATATTTCTCAATGTAAATAAATAACCTATCATTTAATGTTAATCACCCATTTTGTTGCATAATAGATTGAAAATGGTGTCTACTCAAAAGTCATTTGATTTGTCTTTTATTTATATTTAAATGCTTTGACCTTTTGAACTTAAAAAGTGGTGCTACTAGCATGCTAATAAATGCTTTTTAAATGTTGGTCTGCAAGGTCTCTCATGTTCTGTGCTTTTAATTTTTTTTTAATAGATTGGCTAAAACGATATTTTTTGGCCAAGTCATTAAAAAAAAAGTGTCTTCTTCTTCCTCTTGTTGTTTTGCAGAACGTGCAACTGCCATGGTTGCTCTTCTCTGCCACCACAGCCCAAATTTGGGTGGTCATCGAAGGTCCTTACAGCCACTTATCCGAGCTTCCGGGTGATCCCAAAACCACTCCAGTCCCTTAATAGATCTGTCTCTGCAAATGTTGTACCATCCTTGTTTCGGGCAATGAAAAACTTCTCCTTAGGAGGGCCATTAGGAAGAGAGATTTTTCACAGGACAGTATCATATGGTATTATACAAGTAGAGGAATTTTTTTTTCTTCTAAGAATTCTTCCACTTGTGCAATGACATATGTACCCGTATTTTGGACACACACTGAAAAATCTATCCATTGGGACCTACCGGGTCGATGTGAAGGGCACGGGTCAGTCAACCATTGGAAATGGTTATTCCAACTTCTAATTCAAGAAAAAGGTTTTAGTTAGCGAACTAAGTTGATTGTTAAGAGGAAAAAATAGACACTTTGAAAAGAATAAGGTAAGTATATTTTTATTATCAAACAATAAAAATGAAATTTTTTAGTTCCACTTATTTATGGATACTAAATAATACAATTTTCGCATCCTTTCTTCCTCTCCTGCAACACTCATGTGCTCACCAGTACATGAATTCAACTTCAAAGTATGTAATTCATATTATTGTATTAAATATAACTATATATACTGATTCTGATAGGATCGACCGCTGTCTTCTATGAAGTGGTGATACCTGCATAAATCAAATAAGATTTAGTCATCAAATCAGCTAATTATATACACTAATTACATAATATCAGAGAGACAGAGAGAGAGGGAGAAGGAGAGACAGAGGGAGAGACTCACTGCCACACTTGAAGTTGTGAGGGACACGCTTTCCGCAAGCTCGAATCTGCTGAATGGTATGCTGGACGTTGATCAAATTAGTGAGCTTGGGAGTAACGAGAGGGCAGACGCACTCGAAGTGCATAATCCTAAAGCGTTGGCAGCAGTACGCAGAAGCCTTCTGCCCCATGAAAACTGGCTTGCATGCACTAATCAGAATGTTGTTCTCCTGCTTGCACTGGCTAGGGCTCGTGTCCGCATCCACCACCATCACCACGCATAATATTACGAACCCTAATACCACACTGCTGCCTGCTGCATGCCTCATGATATAATATATATGTTTTTGCTGATTTCTTCTTTTTTTTCTTCCTTCTCTTTCTTTATTGATTTTTAATTACTTTGGGTTTTAGCAACTACACCAATACGCATTTTTATTGGTTGTGAGAGAGAGGAATCAGAGGATGGATGGTTCAATAATTTAGGGCAACCAGTCAACCACGTCAACCTTCGGCTTGAATATTTTCCTTTGTTAGGAGGGCCCCGCCGACCTCTGGGTCGATGTGAAGGGCATGAGTCAGTCAACTATTGGAAATGGCTACGTACCTGACTTGATCATAAGTTTTCCGAACTTGGTATTGTTTATTCCAACTTATAATTCAAGTTAAGGTGACTATTTTAGAAGTGGGACTCTTCATGAATTTTCTATCACCATATTTTTTGCACAATATTTAATAATAATGGCATATAAATTGACGTTAAATTGTGAGATGACAGAGAGTCTATCTGGAAGAGTCACACTTTGAGAGAATCCTCTTACTTAACCACTCATATCCCAAATCATTCTCAAAACCAAAACCTAACCCCATAAAAACCAAAGATAAGATACCAAAACACACGAAATGTTGTCCACATAGGTAGTGTATAAGAGAACGAGGAAAAGTAGGAGAAAGTGTGTAAAGTGCTTGACATGAGCGAATGCATACGGTATGGAACTGGGTCCTGCTAGGAAGGGTAACCTTGCTAGTAGGGTGCAGGGATGGCCCAGGTCCAGTGCGGGCTAGGTAAACTATAAATTTATATAATTTGGATAAAAGTCAAAGAAATTTAAGTAGAACTAGTATTTTTGTGTTTAAATTAATTAGAAGGTCTTGAGTTCAAAACACCATGTGTCTTTACTTTCTAATTTTTATAAATTTCTTTTCATAAAAGTATAAATTTATATGGCCAAATGATAAAAAAGTTGGACTTGAAGTGGTGCTTTTTGTTGTTTAAAATTAACGAGAAGCCATGAGTTAGAAGTACTATTTGCATGTTTATTCTTTTCAATTTTTACGAATTTGTGTTTGGTTGTTAATTTTTGCTTTAATCACTAGCTAGTATCTACATGGGTCGCAATTTTTAAACATTCATTTCAATTCAAGTCTAACATTCAACAAAGAGTAATGCATAGGCCAATTTACAAATCATATGACGTGTCAGCAATAGGTTTAATTTAGTGCTCATTCATTGCTTATACATATCAATTAAAGACTCGAAAACATCATTATTTTTTTAGTCCCATATTGACTGGGTTAGTAAATAAGAAAAAATACCTCACGATTTATATAAAAAACACTTTAAAAGTTCAAAAAGAAGGAAAACAAAACTCATCATCTATTTACTTGTAAGCTCGGATTTTTTTGGTTCCTTCTTTTGATACAAAATGATTAGTTTTTACGTATTTCGAAATTATTGAGTTTGAAGTGTTTTTCTAAGTATAATCTTATTAAAGTCGGATCCTCTGCGCGCGTGCGCGCGCGGGGGGGGGGGGGGGGTGTGGTGATTCGGATGGTGATACGAAACCATTTGGGGGACTTCATGGCAGCTGCTGCAGGTCCCATTACGAGACCAACCTCTGCAATCCACACGGAGTTCATGGCTGCACGTCAGGCGGTGCTGCTGGTACAACATTGTTGGTCGGAGGATTGTCAAATTACTTTTGAAGGCGATGTTAGCTTGGGGATGGCTGCTATGAAGGGACAAGGGGATGATTCTTCCCCCTTAAGGCCTATAGTCAACGATTTGAGGTGCTTTCTTGCAGGAATGCCAAACTCGAGGGTCAGTCATGTTCAGCGGGAAGGAAACGAGGCGGCGCATCGACTTGCCTGGATGGGCCTTAGTAGCCCTCAGGAGTTTGTGTGGTTTGAGGAGCCTCCGGATTTGATATAGGACATTTTAGTCAGGGAGGGTTTGTAATTTTATTTGTTCTATTGTTCATGTGAGGATAGGTTTACTGTTTTCTCATTTTGTATGAATAGATTTCAAGGATTGTTTTCTGGACTGAAATTCGAGAGGGCTCTTATATTGTGATGGACTTTGCAACCTGGTTATCCCTAAATACAATTGAAAACCTAATAAACTTGTGGTTGGAACTTTGATACGAGTATATATAGAACAAAAGAAAAATTTTATTCGAACCCAATAATTTTATCTATATTAAGAAAGGATCGTGTAATATACTGGATAACATGTTTTCCTAGGCATTCTTGTAGAGATAATTAGTTGACTCTAGCTGTGTATATATTATACTCTTACTTTGGCAATGCAATGTTCGAAGGGTATTCAGTCCATCGCTTTCCATAGCCGTTCAATATACCACTGTAATATTCATTTTTTTAATAATCTCCACATCCAATATTTTTTTGGTATATTTTACATTCCAATTCGTTTTAAAAAAAAATAAAAACTAATGAAAATGATTTGAAAACTTTGAGTTTTAATGATAAGGACAAAATAAAGGGTAAAGTGAATAGTACCAAGATTGACTTTTTAGTGTAAAAATGTGGTTTTTCATTAAAGTGAACAGTACCGGGACTTTTCGTTAAAACTCCCAAAAAAAAAATTGTGTAGAGAGAAATTTTTTTTGGATTATTACAGTTTCTGCGTTCTTCTTCCCTTATTCTCCCCCGTAAAACTCGCCTATTCCCTTCACAATCTAAATTACATGTAAATTAATTCATCATTTAGCTAGGAAGAAAGCTAGCTAATAAAAAGAGACGTTTTATTCTTTAAGTATAATTATTTCGTGGGATTGATGCTACTCCTGGTCCTGGGTGGTGATGCCTGCAAATGAAAACAAAGGAGAAAGAGATCTGTTAAGCACATAAAAGAATTAATGTAGTTTAAATTAACTAGCTAATATGGATCAGATAGGGATTAATGTGGAGAGAACTCACTACCACACTTGAAGTTGCGAGGGACACTTCTTCCACAACCTTTAATCTGCAGAATTGTACGTCTTTGAGGGATAATATTGGCCAGCTTGGGGGTGACATGAGGGCAGATACACTCAACATGAGTAGGCCTAACAATTTGGCAGCAGTATGCAGAAGGATTGCGTCCTGGAAGTAGCGCTGTCCGGCAGTTTTCACGCATACGGTCCACCTCCTCCTTACACTGGCTCGGAGTCGTGTCCGCCTTTGCCATCGGAACCACCTCCCAAACACCACACTATAACAAGAATATGATCACGGCCAATGAACGTCCTGCCCTCATGATTTTCCCTGATATTTTTCCTTTGTTGTTTGAATTCCTTTTTTGTTGCTCCTGTTGCATTTTAGCAGTAGAGACTACTCCTTTTTATAGATTATCAATAATGCTATGTACATATAGGTTCATAAGATCACCCACTTGCGTCTGTGTAAGTGACCGAGTATCTTAACATTACTCTTTTGCTTTATTTTCGATAGGGGTTGAAAAGTCTAGTATATTTTCCACAGATGTATAAGTTAGGTACCAACCAAAAATCTTGGAAAAAAATTATTTTTAAAATCTTAATTGTTGAAATTGATCGTGATATTTTTGAGATTTGAACACTATATATGTTTGTGAATATTTAATCACTGTAAGTCGATATTTTAGCTAGCTAGTTTTCCAAAAATCTTTCGGCCGGCTGCTTGTAATGGCACAAGTCAATGAGAACTTCATAATGGAGTGTATTGAATTGTTGTATTAGATGACTTGATGTTCCTCTTTTAGTCGTGGAGAAATTCTTCAGTGGTTTGGAATATGGTCCAGTACACTAAATGTAATAATACAATTAGCTAAAAATTTAAAGAAATTTTTTTTAACTGATTGTATTATTACATTTTGTGTACTAAGTCGTGTCATCGACGCATTGAAAAATCTTTTTCAATCAGGCATCATTACTTAGGTAAATCAGAAAATATAGGAGAAAAAACAAGCAATTTGGAAAAAGAGAATTAGTAATGTGACGTGTTGTAGACAAAATTAATGGGTCATAGACTCCAAATTAAAATTGACTCGTTGTAGACAAAATTGACGTTTAATGGGCTAAAAATTGAAGGTTTTTTAATATTCACATGGGTTATTTATTAAAGGAGAAACTTGATATAGGTCCAATTTTTTGAGCCAATAGTAGGAATAGTCTAATTTATTAAAATAAGTTCAATTCCTTAAATCTTATTATTTTATTATCAATAATTATCTCTTAAATGATAAGATTTATTATAAAAATAAAATTTCTTCCTAATTATATCTTTGATTATTTTTTTTGTTTTGTTCTTTCTTGTGCTTTATCCCGTTTTAAACCCCATTTATAGATTTTATTTTTTATTTTTATAATCAACCTATATCATATGTTAATTATATTTATCTACCTATATGATAAATTCTTTTTTATAATCAAGTAAGATTCATGTGTCTTGCTTGTAGATATATTATGTTTTTTTCCTACCTTTTAGTTAAGTTTCATATCTTACTTATATGTATGATATACATTCATATATTTGTTACTTGAGTTAGAATAGAATGATTTGCAGATAGATTTATGTCAATATATTATTTTTTTTGTTATAAGATAATAATTATATTTTTTGGGGTTGAAAATTAATAATATTAGAAGATTTTAATTGATTTTTAATATTTTTAGAAAATATAAAATGAGCATTAAAAAAATAAATACATATAATTAGGTAATTGGACTCACTCCTAAAAACCATCTATATTTTTGGACTTGGATCTAAAAGCCCCTTTATTAAAAAATGGCTTAAATGTCAATTTAGTTTCTTTATTTTCAATTTAGTCAAATTGATCCTTGGGTTTATATTAGTTAGTCAATTTAAGACAATTTGTTAAAATTGACATGTGCCAAGCATGTGAGAGGACAAAAACATGATTTCACGTACATCCACTAAACATATACGATGTTTATCTTTAGAAATTGACGCTTAGATCAATTCACTTGAGTACTATGCGATTTAGGTCATGTCAGTTTTAAGTATCTTGTAACGAATTGTCTTAAATTGGTTAGCTGATGTAAACACAGAAACCAATTTGACCATATTGAAAACACAGTGACTAAATTGATTGTTAGACTAAAACACAAGGACCAATTTGACATTAAAGCCTTAAAAAATAATCAAACTATGAATACACTTATTTTGTAGCTCTACAAATTTTTTAGGAGAAATCACGAGGGTATAAGGGTTGCAAGCTTAAATTTCAAGGAACAACAATTTTTGGAATTCACTAGAGATAGGGACACAATCGAAAATGTTACTTGATTAATGATTGAAAGATGATTAAGAGCTAGCCAATAGCTTAAATAACATGATCACAACACCCTTGATAACTCAAAGGTCTTAAGAAATTAATTAACAATTACCCAATTAAATAGGGATAAAATAGTAATATGGAACAATTAGAAATATAAACGTGGAAGAGAAAAATCCCACCACATTTTATGCAGATCAGTTTTTGTCAAGGGTAATGTTAAGGATACAAAATTTGCATACTAAATGATGTGTTACCAATATGAATGAGCACATTTATTAACGCCTAAGTAATAAATCAATCATCAACTTTCATGTTTTTTAATTTTCAAAATTTTGTCTGCAAATTTAATCTGCACATCACCCTTTTCTCAAACTGCAAATTCAGATATCCCGCGGATGAGGAATAGGCGGAGGCCATTCCGTCTGACCACTGGGTCTCCGCCATTCGGTTAGGGGCTGATAGGGATTGGGTAGGAATTCAAAGGACGTTTGATTTTGGTATTTAGGGTTTTGGTGGTTGCTAGATCGTGAAGGGGAGGTGCCTCGAGAGAGATGTTTCTAATTTATTAGTTGCGTCATCGTCGCTGTCGAACGACAATGATGCTGTGGTGGCCATTGTTCATGTGAGGAAGATAAAGATAGAGTTGGCGATGAGAAGTTTAGACTGAGGGTGAGGGTGTGATTTTTGTCTTTCGATTACTCAGGGCAAGGGTTGTCTTTTAATCATAGCCATCTGACCCGATTCTCATCGGAGTGCTGCAAAAAAAAAAAATAAAAAACTGATTTATCATGAATCCCCTAGGTATTTTTGTAAACAAATCAGGAAAAAAAGAAAAACCCAAAAAAAAACTGATTCACCATCCTTTTTCTCAGCCAACCGCAGCGCTCGCATACGCTAGTTTCCCACGCAGTCATTAACTGCACACCGGCAGTTTGTTTGTAGTTGTGCAGAAATCAAGGAGAAGAGAACCAGGGCGAGGCCGAGGGAGAAACGGAGAGACAGATCAACAAAGAGTCTTCCTTGGTACAACTTCTTAATTTTCAATCTTAATCTTTTATTCTCAATTCTCAATCTCAAAAGTACGGCTGTGTGAAAAATGGAGGGAAATTAAATGGCACCATGCGCAAAATGTACGGATAAATTCATCTTGACGATAAAAAACGCATAGTTGAGGTTCCTTTTTCATAATTTCAAATGAACTTGATCTCACATATATTGGGTATTGTATTTTTTAAGTGTAATGCATGATGTTGTTGCACAAGTATGCATAACGTAAATTGTGAATTTGGCAGTCCAAAGGGTTTGGCAACTAAGAAAAAGCTTCAGCAACCATTTGAGTTCATGATTGGTCTGCAACATTTTCAATTATATTATGCTGTAAGCTTTTCATAAAGTGTCAAGATGAAAAAAATGGCCAAGAGGCGTTGCATTCAATTTAAAAGCTTTTTCTCTACATGACAGCAGTATGCACTTCCCATTACTTAATAGTAACTACGCGTTTCTGGCCGAAAGCTTGCAAGTGTCTCTAACAGTGATTTAGTTGGTTTCTTTTGGACTAAAATGCAAGACTTCTCGTGACCCTTTTTATATATGCAGAAGTTCGTTCCTCAAGACCTTTTGATTTGATAGCTGGTGGGGTGTTGGATAGAATA